ACTATATCGGGTCTATTGGCCTTTATTTCCCTGTCAGTTTGTATTGGCATATCCCACATTATAGTAGCTTCTTCATTGTCTTCTACAGTTGATGGTTCATGTTCATAATACTTATCTTTGACTTCAATATTATAGTGCTTACAAATTGCCCAGTGGAGGTATGCTGCTGCTTTGTTATGCCTATGAATATACTCTGTTTTGGACAATTCTGAGCAGCCAGAAACAAGGTCTATAGTTTCTTGGTTTTTGCCACATATCCTACACATTGGGTCTGTTCCATCTTTTAAGATCTTATTCCTATAGTAGTTGGTCTTGATACACTGGTCTTGTGCAGCAATGATAAACCCTCGCCGTTCATACATCAAATCCATGTGCTTTAAATAGCATTTTCGGTGGAGCCAACATCAGCAAAATTTCCGACTGTCCGTTCGAAATTTTCAAAGGCACAGTCAAGATCTAACAAGGGAAAAAACGACGTTATGTCATCGAGAGTAACGATGAAAATTGAACATTCGCTAAAATCACTGCAAGGCCTGCACGTATTGACGTTTTCAATCGTCTTAATTTTGACGGACTTTTCAACTATTTTTACAAACTTTTGGATGTTCTGAAACGTTTTAAGCTAAATTACCGTGTTTTGTGGAATAAAAACGGTTTTGTGACATAAATTGTGCTATATTAAACACATTTTCAAACAAATTGTTRTATTTTTTCGACACTGAACGACACTGAACAGATGAACACGACATGACATTGAATGAACAAATGCGCGCGCAAGCGGAAGTGTTAAATCGCTATCGCTCGGGACATACTTCCAAGACCGAGGTCTGAGATTTCCCTGTAATGTCCTCACTCTCGGTTAATAAGTAGTATATAATTAGTGCTTTTAATCATTTTATTATAATTCATTAGCCTTTAGGAATTATTATTACTATTTAATTATTCTTTTCTTACTTATCTAAAACGTGTTTACACATTTGGTTTGTGTAGTGATTGCATAAACCAGGAACATGGTAAACYATAGCCTAAACCATTGACCGAACGCCTTATAAGCATTGGYTGTTGGTCTTTTTATACAAGTAGAACTAGGTCATTGTTGTCTTTTAATGAACAATTTGTGGAATATTTGATTTCCAGTCCAAAGAACATGGGTCTATTGGATCCAGCTACCAGTGATGGCAGAGTGATATTCTTCTTACCATGGGAGGGTAAGCATCAGTAGGGAGGTACGCCTCCCCGGTAAGACTAAATCAACCATCAACATCATCAATCCTCTTCATCCCCTGTGGGACATAAGGCCGCCACAAACTGTATCCAGACTGAATTAATAGATTCTATTTCCTATTGATTAATATGACTGAAGTTTAAAACGAAATTTCTGTTCCATTCCATTTCCTTTCATGCTCTGCTGTGTTCTTTCCTTCTGCTACTTTTATTTTCTTCTTTATAGACAGAAGCGAAAAGCTAACAGAATAAACATAGTCTTATTTGAATTACTTTACTAAGTCAGAAGTACATAACCAGAAGTGTCCATCTTCCCAATAATATCGCCACCATCAGATGTCCCGATAATCTATTTTTAGACAATCAATCACAACGCGCGCACATATTACACGGCACCTGATTGGTCCTTGTTGATCTACTTCAAGAGCGGACAAGAAMGGAAAAAATTATGTAGTCGATGGAGGCGAACAAATTGAAGTTCGCATTTAAGAGAATTTTACACCTTTTGCTGAACACCAATTTTTGAATTCGATAGAAAACATACTTTACTATATGAGCAATGTAGCGAAGGTAGTTCAAGAGCAATATGGTCTGCGAAAACAGGGGAAAAGTTCAGACAAAGATGAAAAAGATGCAGACAAAAGAAGTGCGAAGAAATGTCTGCAAAAATGTGATTTTTGTGGCGAGAATTGTACTCGTTTTAATAAGAAATCTGTTCTAATAGAATTAAAAAGCCCTTAGACTATACATAGAATTGTAGTTTAGGTATTTTAGGATCTAAATAGCTTTATAAAAAGGGGAAAACTAATACAAAACGATGCCCGAGTGCAAAAAATGTCACAAAAAGTCAATCAAAAACTGTTTTAGCAAAGTGATGTTCAAATCAAGAGGTTCATATTATATTGTGAACTCTTCATTGTGTAAGGAGTTGAAAAGTGATTGTTCTTTGAAAGAAAAAGCGAGGAATAAACAAACTAGCGAATAGGTACAGAGGGTAATAACGACTATCATGTCGAATTTTAAGTTAACAATAAACAAGATAAGTTATGAAAAGCCACAAACAAGGAAAGTAAACAAAGAAATATCGATAACTACTTGAATTTCAAAACAAACCCCGCCTACTTGGAAATTTACAGCTTTTCCATTAACAGTCGAAAATTACTTTAACTCTGGCTTTGTTTAAGTCCAGCTCTATTTGACTTTAAGGAAGCTACTACTTTTCTTAGCACGCTGGTTTACATTTTTCTTCGTCTATGTCTGGACTTTTCCCTTGTTTTCGCAGACCATATTGCTCTTGAAATGCCTKCGCTACATTGCTCATATAGTAAAGTACGTTGTCTATCAAATTACTTAAACTTTGGTTTTGTTTAAGCCCGACTCTATTTGACTGTAAGAAAGCTACTTTATACTTTTTTCGCACGCAGTTTTACATTTTTCTTAATCTTTGTCTGAACTTTTCCCTTGTTTTCGCAGACCATATTGCTCTTGAACTTCCTTCGCTACATTGCTCATATAGTAAAGTATGTTTTCTATCGAATTCAAAAATGGTTGTTCAGTAAAAGGTGCAAAATTCTCGTAAATGCAAACTTCACTATTCGTTCGCCTCCATCGACTAAATAATTTTCCTTTCTTGTCCGCTCTTGAAGTAGATCAACAAGGACCAATCAGGTGCCGTGTAATATGTGCGCGCGTTGTGATTGGTTGTCTAAAAATAGATTATCGGGAAATCTGATGGTGTCGATATTATTGGGGAGATGGACACTTCTGGTTATGTACTTCTGACTAAGTCTATTGTGTGTGATCCATATCGAGTCCGTCCGTCCGCTCAAATCAATCCAATTTTTCCAGCATGAAAAAGATTTTTTWAAAATACAAAATTTGGACATTTCTTCTGAATAACGTCGATATTGGAGCAGTTTTGATGAAAAATCCAGTAGTTTTCTGTCATTTTTTTCATCAGTAGGATGACCTTTTTCTCAAGCTATCTGCTAAGGATAGTGAGAAAAATGCTTGCAGAGTTTTATATTTACCTAAGTTACCTCATTAAAACTTCGCGAAGAAAATATCAAAATTCGAGTAGGAAATAACAYGTGTTTATAGATAAATTCTCTTGTCGTTTTTTCTCGCTCTGTCATTGGACGTTTCAGGGTCACGCGATATTAGCTAAAACCAAATGTTGACCATTTTGAGAAGTTATCCTTCAGCAGCATGTTAGTAGAAGAGTAAAAATATAGAAAATGCGGCCAGATACTGCTGTTAGATGGTGAATACTTAGTAGAAGTAGAAGCGGAAAATTTTGCCGTTTCATTTGTTCCGAAATAAAACCTTCCCCAAAAAAAATCAGATTTTCAAACGGCAACACAACGCGAAGAAAACAATTAGTTTTTTCTAGTTTTTTAATCATGATAAACACATGTCTATCACTGACATTAACGTTTCCACCCAATTCAAACCGCTCGGGAGTAAGTTTCATTGTTCGCTGTATTTTAATTTCACAGTTTTAAAAATTCTTAGAAACAAAAGTTCTTTTTCCCACACCCCACCCATTGGGTGGTAACGTACATAGCAACGCGTTAGCCGATTAGGTCTATTCGAATGTTTTCCTCGGTGTAACTTCACTTCCGGCGGCATTTGTTTCTATTTCAAGAATCAATCAAAATGCGAAGAAAATCCCGGTTACTCAGAGTCTTATATTTCGAAGGCGGAAAAGAAAAATGAAGGTTCCGGGTACGAGATTGAGTGGTTCAAGGACACATCACAATCRCAGCACGGCACGGTTACTATGCTGCTCGAAAGTGCCATAGTTTTTGCAACAGTCATACGAAATCCGATTATTATAATCTAAATTGTTCAAAGGTAGCGTGCAGGCATTGATTTATGTAGGCAATTGGGGGGTTGACTATAATCACTACAAAAAGCTAGAGTGGCACTACTCTTCGCTTCATATGAACAATTTCTTAAATATTTTGTGCTATTTCCTTTTGCCATCTTTCATTTTTGACTTATCACAATCTGTTCCATTCTATTTTTTCTGCTCTATTCCATTCTTTTACACTGTTAGTTTTTTTGGAGTAGGAAGGACAATTGCAGGAACCACAGATACACCAAGCAATGTTAGTTTTGAGCCAGAAGCCCAAGAAGTTGAGATCCAGTTTGTACTCAGTGAAATCAAACACTACTTGGGTGATGAAGTTAATGGTATGTAACCCTTACTTATTCTCATGGAATTCAGAATTTTACTTGTTATTTTACGGTCACGACCCAGTATTTACAAAATTGCAGTTTCAGACTGCGTTATATTCTGTTTATTGATTGGTGGCTATATTCAGTCATCAAYGSAGTTAAGGCGTTTTCATACCAAAACTAGATGCTGTTGTCCGTGTTTTCCATGAGATGAGCGATTGATTAACAATTCAGTAAAAGCTCGTCCGTGTATTCAGCATTCTGCCAGATGACCTTCCTTTAAGAATCAGTGTAGTACGCCATGAATATCAGCACCACATTGAAACTGATGTAAAGTTTTTCGTTTCAGTTCGCCGCGGAGATGTGTTGGCAGCTTGGAGCGGTATTCGTCCACTTGTCCGTGATCCAAAATCCAAAAGCACTGCCTCTATTGCACGTAATCATGTGATTGACATCAGTGAGAGTAACCTAGTGACCATTGCTGGTGGTAAATGGACTACATATAGGTCAATGGCTCAAGACACTGTGGATGCATGCATCAAAACTTGTAAACTAGAACCTGTCCGAGATTGTCAAACAGATGGTCTGCTTTTAGAGGGAGGGCAAGGCTTCACGCCTAATTTTCATATTAGATTGATACAAGATTTTGGATTGGAGGAAGAGGTAGGTAGACATAAAAAATCTAAAGGACCAACCTTGTAACACTGTATTCTGTAATTAGAATAAGGTCGATGAGGAATTACTGTTTAGAGGATTCTAAAGGGGTGAGGTTGGACTGGGATGGGAAAATATCTATGGCTCATTTTTGATTGTGAACTGAAAATAGGATTTGATACACTGGGATAGCAAGTTATTAAATTGTAACAATTATTCGGCAAAGGCGAAGTGACTATCGGTGAATATTCTCCCAGCCAAAGTAGTGCTGAATATGAGGGGGAGGTAAGAGATTGCGGTATTGCAACCTAGTACAGTGGTTGACGACACATACAACATATACCTAGTACAGTATTCGATCACAGATCACTACTGATTGGCTGACCTATATGTCACACAATCACAAGTTCATAACCTAACACATGCGATAAAGTTCATGTATTTAGGGCTGGGATTTCGGTAAAAAAGAAAAAGGGGTGGGGTGAATCAAATTTTGCTGGTGTAGCGTCTGTCATTCGTTTCACCAATAGAATTTAAAAATTAAACGATAGGTGAAGTTTGATTGAAATTCTACGAGTTATTCAGGTCATTAACGAAGTCACGTGAAAGCTAACCYACTCATGGTCATTTTTTTTTGGTTATAGTGTAGGGTACAATGTCCCATGTAATAGTCTCCTTCACGGTTACCTGCGCCATCTTGAAAGGTAGCCGTGCCTTGTCATCGAAGCGAGACAACCGTTGAGCGTGCAATGATAGAAACCTTCTTTCACACCTATAGACAATTATTCACAGGTATCTATCRTTGCACGCTCAACGGTTGTCTCGCTTCGGTGCAAAGGCACGGCTACCTTTCAAGATGGCGCAGGTATCCGTGAAGGAGACTATAGTAAGGGTGGGCATGTGACTTCGTCGTTCTTGACCAATAACTCGTAGAATTACAATCAAACTTCACCTTTAAGTAAGTCTTGTTTAATTTTTAAATTCTACTCCGTCATTGGTCTAATTCATTGCGAAGTCACGTGAGATTTTTAATACTAATGAGCACTACCTACATAGTCGTATACACTCATATATGACAGGTGTTGGGAAAATTGGATAAGTTATTTATACAAGTAAAACTTTCAAATGTCAAACTTAGACTTGTAGGTTCCTTAACTACAACTGGCCTGTCATAGAATTTTCTAATGGTCTCTGAATTTGTCCACCAGTAGATGCCGTCCGGTTGGCTATGAGAACTGTATACAGTAGTGTCAATTCCTGCATTGTCACGACCCATTTTTATCCATCGTTTGACTGTGTCTGTAGAAGTAGGATTAAATGGTTTACAGTAGCTTAGCAACAGTTGGGTGTGATCCTGTTGGATTGTCCTTGTAGTAGTTGGTAGTCATTGTAAACTTGGATACACCATGACCTGGACACTGTTTATCCACCATTTCAATTCAGAGCAAGCTGCATAAGATTTAAAATTAGACAAGAGGTACACTTACCTTGCAGGATATGGAGCAATTATGACCTCATTATGCGTTTCCCATTCGCGCATGCGGAAAGAACCACTCTTTGAAGTCAATTGTTATGCAAATGAGACATGCTATATAACAACGTGTGACCGCCCTGACCGACCTCTTCCTATTGAGTGTAGCACGTGAAAAACTGCATTTTGCCATATAGCCCTGAGAAAAAAAAAAAACAAAAAAACGGGTGGGTGTGCACCTCCGTGCCCAGGGTGGGACTGAGGTCATAACTGCTTCATATGGACTTGGAGAATTACAATTATCCTGCAAGGTAAGTGTACCTCTTGTCTAATTTTAAATTCTCCTCATCCATATTCCGCATTATGACCTCATTATGTCCTTTTTGAAGTCATATCGCAAAAAGGCTTAGAGCATAAAATGATAATATCACATTTATACTTTGATCTTTATTTATCCATTTTGTATTGCGTGTACTTTACGACAAAATAAGTTCGCCTAATGGCGTACTAACAGTTGGTCGTTTATAATACTTAGAAAACATTCTCTCGTTAGACCAATTGGCTAACTTCAAAATGTTCTCCACAGACGCCCCACCTAGAAAAGCTTTGGATGTGGCGCCGCTCCGGATGCTATGTGCCTTAAATTCATTAACATCGATCCCAGAACGTTTTAGTATTTCTTTAATCTATCTAGCTGTGGGCATGCTTGTGCTGATGGCCTTGTGCKGTTTACGGAAAGATWCAAATAGTTGAGTTTCCTTTGACACACCTCTAGACTGACTTGTTTTGTTTGTGTATTCTAATAAATGACAATAAGGACAAATTGGTTTGTCATCATCTGACAATTTGGGCAGAATAACTTTAAAGGAATTCTTTCCAGGACGACTAGTTTTCAATCTACTTGTAACATTAAATACTACTCGATTTGACTCTATCGTCATTTCATCAATGGATAAGGCTTGCAGTGTTTGCCCTCTTTGGGCGGTCGACAAAGCTATCATAGTGGCCAATTTCACACGAGATTCTCTATTGGGCTTAATGTTCTCATATAATCGGTGACTTTTGACACGTCCCAAGCTCTAGCGTGGCCGAGGGGGTTTCGACACGTAAACACCTTTCATAAAGCGACTCACTAGATGATTAGATCCAAGATCACGCCCTGTTACTGCATGGATCGTAGTAGGTATCGCTGACCGATATGTGTTAACAGTACTGTATGTCCTCCCTTGATCGTACACATTGAGCAAAAAATCAACAAATAATGTTACAGGTGCTTGAAATGCATCGCTCTTGAATTGATTACACCAGCTATTCCATTCCTGCCATGGCTTCTTGTATTGTTTTTGTGTTCCCAAAGTCCATGACTTGATGATGATCTCGGAGGTGCACTTTGAAAGTCCTTGACTTTTGAGACCTTCCCTGACACAGGCCGGGCGGCTAGGACCAGCTGACTGCGGATTGGGTGGAGCTTCCGGTTGTGTGGGAGCATCAACACATTCGACCATTGAGGTAACAAGATAGGGCGATCCATCACAAGACTTAGATGGACTGGGTACCAGACCTGCGTTGTCCAGACTGGAGCTATAAGAAGAACGCACGCTTCGTCTTGTTGCACCTTGGTCAATATTCTTGGGATGAGGCTGAAAAGGGGAAAAGCATAGTTCACTTGTTTGCCCCAATCTAAAGTAAATGCGTCTGTTGCCAACGCCTCGGGGATTGGGCGCGAAGATACGAATCGTTTTAATGTAGTGTTTAGGCGCGATGCAAAACAAATCGATCAAATCGGGAGCCAGAGTCTTTCAATGAGCCACCCGAAAATCGGATGCAAGCTCCACTCAGTGCGGTCATCAAAATTTCGAGACCAAAAATCTGCATCTCATGTTCTTTTCCCGTSGAATATATTGTGCTACCGCAAAAATRTTTCGCTCCAGACATTAAAAACATAATTGACGTGTTAATACTGATGTATCCAACAACAGTAGTRTTGTCTGTTCGAAGGCAAACACGAGAATTGTTCGGGATAAAGCACTGGAGCGACAAAAAAGCTGCMAATAATTCTAAGTAATTAATATGGTTTTACTCTCGCTTACTGACCAGTGTCCTCCGGTATACTTGTCACCGCAATTTGTCYCCCAATCCGAGTTACTTGCATCGGATTCGACCCTGTGTGTAAAACAAGGGGTTTTTAATGGTTTACCATTATATTCGATTCGTCAATGTGTTCAATGATCCACGATGAATCTGAATGGGCTAATTTTGTGATCGTTACCAAGTCGTTACCAAGTCGAAATATCCTTCGATTTACATGCTTCAATAGATCTGTAAAACAAGGGTAGATAATGGATTGCTGGAAAAGCCGATACTAATAAGCCAGAGACTTCGGCAACCTGGCAAATTGTGGCTGTTTTGACATTAAGTAACTTTTTGCATGCTAAAGTGATTTTGTCGATTTTTTCCCTTGGTAGCGAGATTTTCATACAAGTGCATGGAGTCAATAATGAAGCCCAGATAATGAATCCTAGATGCGGGCTTATCTACATGTTTCTTACGTTCGTCCTTTGTTGATGCTACTATCAGAGCCTATCGTCTATGTAATACGAAGTTCTCATACCGCGAGATCTCAAATTCAAATAAACAGGTTTTAGAACTTTGGTAAAGGTACGCGGTGTCAAGCTAGAGCGGTTTTCATTAACCCATGAAATACACTTTAGCGTATTTATCGCTATTACACTTTGGCTCTTTTGTTTTTTATTGTCTCTATGCGACTATTACGATGTATTACACTCTAATTATTACACTTTGTTTTACGGGTTTTGAAAACCACTCTATAACCKAAAGGTAAACATACAAACTCAAAGAGTTCTTATTTCCAAATAAAACGTAAATATTTCCGGTACGATTTATCAATTGGGATGCTAAAATAGGCATCCGATAAATCAATAGACGCGAACAAATCGTTATGATTAACTAGCTGACATGCAAAGTCGATAGTTTCCATTTGAAAACGGATTCTTCGTACAAATTTTTTTAGTGGCTTCACGTTGATAACTGGTCTTAAATCACCTGTTTTCTTTGGAACCAGAAATAAATTGGAGATAAATTCTCCTTCCGTATGTTCTGCATGCGTAATTGCACCTTTTTCTAGAAGTTTGGCCACTTTGATATCAATGGCTGCAGATTTCTCCTTTGAAAATATCGCTTTTTATGGAAGCGCAAATTCAAACGGCGTATTTTCAAATTTAAGGTGATAACCTTGAACTGTTTGGAGAATCCAACGATCACATGTGATTTGGTGCCAGTTAYCCGTTGCATACGTAATGGCTTGAGCTGCATGCAATAACGATTTTTGCACTTCTTGAAGACCAACATCCGTTTTCTTGGCTCCTCTTGGTAAATCATTCGATAAAGCTTGGTTTACATTAGGGACTGATGCAGATTCACAGTTCTTGGGAGTGAAATATTTCTCTGTTAATGTTTTAAATTTGTATTCAATAGCTTTCTTTGTAAACGCTTCGTTTACTCGTTTTGCTAGCATTTCAGAGACCTCTGGACCAACTTTATCAGAGTCATCAAATATAGACGGCGTCAGATCAAAGTCTGGCATCGTAATACTAGCACTTTCTTCGTCTTCTGCATCTAATTGCAAATTGTTTTCAAGAGGGTCAAAGCCCGATTCACCCTCAGAGTTATGCTGCTCTGGGTTGGCTGCTGAGATACACTGCTCAGGCTTAGAAGGTTCTGAGATGCATTGCTCAGTCCTTTGGCGCTTTAACGGCCTTCTTCGAGATTCACTGTCGTCGTACTCGTCAGCCGAGCGTTTGATTGTTTCTGAGGCGGGACTGCGAAGATAAGCCCGGATGAAGTTGAATATTTCTGCCACGGACTGTGTGAAAGCTCCAATGCCAAGGCCTTCATGTAATTCCCTTAAATGGCTGTTTGTGAAGTAGGGTTCTGCTTGGTGGTCCGCCACTGGTTCGTCTTCTAGGCTCAGTATATCAACTTYTTCTTTTTGCTCGGAGTCACCCATATTATTGCTCGAGCAACACAAGGATATACAGTTAGTGCAAAGCACTTTAACGACTAATGAATAAGAAAGTAATTAAAAGGATAAACCTCAGATTAGTTCTTACCTTATTTTTCGACGCACGAAAAAGGAAGAGGTCGGTCACGGCGGTCACACCACAGGCAGAGCATTTGAACTTTACAGTGAATATGATGGGATTCAATTTTTTTTTTATTTAAATAAAATACATCTTAGTCTACCTTAATCTCATGTGTTGTTGATGTTATTTAACATTGCTGTGTATGGTTTTGAAGGGATTTAGAGCTATTTTAAAAAAAATATCGGCATCAGTCATAAAAGACTACAAGGCTGGTTACAGAGCGTCCACACCACTCGTCTTTGATGGCGGAAAAAAATATCTTAAATCCATCTTTTGCCTCAAAATCCCCTCAGCGGCATGTCTCTAGGATCCTTCTATCCAGAAGCAATCTTTCAGCGGATTTCAAATCCAGCCATGCCAAATGTTTGTACGCTATTCTGACTCAATTTTTGAATCCGCTCAAGTCTTCATCGACCTTGTTGGACACGGACTTTGACCGTTTTGCAAAACTCTCTCTAATTGGACGACAGTTACCATGGAATCAGTTCAAGTACTCCCGACTACTACTATGTGTAGCCATGCCTTGGATGTTGATATATTAGAAACGTTATGACTTCTGAAGGCACAAATATACTGTGATCTTTAATTTCAGACGTTTCGAGCCTTTGACAGCTTCATCAGTGAATGCAAACACAAAGTGCTTTGCCGAGAGTTATAAAGAATGGGCTCCTAGTTTATTCTATTGAATGAAAACGTCCTATACAACCATTCACAATGTTTTTGTGATTTCGTATTTCTAAAGCTTCAGTTGTTCTGCGCGTGTTGAGATTATTTTGATTAGAGTGTAGAATCTCCCAAGAGATATCTTTTATGGACGGATTAACTGATGTGTGTCAATAGATCGTATTCAGTCACGTGACCTACTTTCTAATGCGCCGCCATATTRGAGCACATGTTATATAAACAATTACAAAGCGAAGAGAGGACAGATAATGRTTTTATGTGCGATTGTTGGTTGTGGGACCCGAAGTGGCCGAGATAAAGGCATTTTTATGGCGAGGACTAGTCCCCTCTATTAACTATGCTCTAGCATACTCAACATCGTTCGCGAAGCTTGGTATGATCCACGAACACTTCATTTGAGTGCAGGAAAGCTTCCCGTTTACCTTCGTCCAAGCCTCAAGGTAAAATAGCACACTTGCAACATGGGAGCAAGATTCAGCTAATCCCGCTTTACATCCTAAACAGTGAGCACAGTTTATAGTTCCATCATTTTCTGTGATGATCCATATTGAAATCAATGGGTCATTCATTCGCAGGGAATGTCGCACCTTGGCTAACACAACAAACTTGTCTGCAATTTTGTGTCCCTGTACGTTGGTTATGAATCCCGATATCATTTGATTATACGCTTCGAGACTCCTGAAAGCTTTAAATTGCTTCTGAGTATAGAAACTAGTTTCCAAAACTAGGTAGCAAAGTAAATCAGTTGATTCGGCAGTCCGGCTCCACACGTTTTCCTTCCAACAAGACAGGATCGATTCCAATCGTCGCATGATTTTCTCCATGTAGCGCAGTCTTACTTTCCCTTCTAAGCTTTTAGCATATCGTGAAAGAGGAACAGATAATTTTTCATTATTTTCAGTTGAAGAAATAGAGGAATCTTGATAAGAACTCATTTTAAATTTAGCTGTCAAAGGACTTTCATTCAAAATATGCAAATTTCGTGAGATTTAAAAAGGTCATATAAACAACACTTTATAATTTAACAATTTTTGATGCAATGTTTAAAGGAAAGAACCCTATTAACCTATACTTATCCCGTTTTTTGTATATGGACCAGCTTATACTAATTAGGGGAATTTCCAAATGCAACTCTTTCAAATAAATTCAAAATAAATGCTTTAACTCTTTCCCGTCTGCCCCTTGAAATTTAGGTCGAATTCGACCTATGCGTCAAAAGTCTATAAGTTGCCGAAATAGTAAGCTAGAGCCCTGAAATTGCTCGTACGAACTTACTAGTAGATACTGTCGATCTTACAGTTAAAAGAATTTCGCAACGAGGAAACAAAAGACACAAAACATGACTCTGCTTTGAAATGAATGCCAAAATCTGAGTTTGAAGGACGGCAGAGTACACTGATTTTCATCTCAATTTGTAGCGTCAAAATATGTTCTCCTAGCAAAAAGTCCACTTGGTTTGCAAACCCCTTTGATAGAACGTCCTCATTTCGATGTTTTTATTTTGTCAAATGCACTGCAGATTTTTAAACAGCCCTCTTTTGAAGACCAGGTACAACAAACTTCTATGCACGATCGAAATGCATCATGGGAAGAGACAAAATTTCGACATAAATCTTCCAGCATTCTTGTGTGAGTGTGAGCTCCCCCGCACCTACAGTCAAAATATCGGGCCAATTGCATTCTTTGGTTGTCAAATATTGCCAAAATTACCTTGGTAGGTTGGAAAATCTGCCACAGATGGACCAGGAAAGCGATCTTACAATGATGTCTCCAGTTCAAAACAAACCGTGACTTGGAGCCATTGTCTTCGAAAAATCGCTTTCCACCTYTGATTTCTTCCAGAAGATTGTCTCTGCCGACTAGTCAAGCTTAATGATGCAAGCCTAGGGGCTCCTGTGGCAGCAAAAAGCTCAAAAAACACTTATAAACGGGTTTTTAGGTAAATTTAGGCTCAACCAGTCGATAAACAAACGGTCTGACCTAAATTTACAAAGCCCTGCATAAATTAATGCTCCCTAGGGAATTCAAATCCGAAATAGTTTTATTGACAGCACCTTATATGGAAGTCAATTATTTTATCAAGATGTTAGGGTCGAAAAAGCTCAAAAATCAACAAATCGACATCAGTCGACAATGAGTTAAATGCTCTTAAAACTAATATGCTATAGTTCCTAATGCAACCCTAGACGAAATGGCGCAATGCATTTGATTATCAGATRTCTTGGTGTAAGGTTKCRCGYTTTTAATTAAAAAATGACCTCTCAGGTCAAGAAGCATATTTTACAAAACAAGAATGCGATGAATAACACACTAAATGGGGAAATATAATAGACAAAGTATTTATTGATACGTAAAATATAGCTATTAGAACAAATAAACTTATCACTGTGAGTCTAGAGCTGATTGTAGAGGTCTGATCTTTCGTCTTGTCAAAGAATTCTTTGGGTTCACGGAACGACTCGTTGCATTGACATCTGACGCACATGCATTGACATCTTTTAGTGTGAGTCTACCGCGAACGGCGTGTGCGTTTGTAAGATGGTTGAGCTGCCGTTGAGCGTCTCAGTATGTACTTTTTTAACATCTTAATTGCAAAAACTCTCCAAGGAAGAAGGAAGAAACATCGAGCAAACGTACTGTAGCACAAGTACAGCACCATGAGACAAGTAAAGTAAAGCATTATGGATAATATGATTTACCATGTGACCTTGGTATTCCTGTGCTATCCAACTAGGAAATTATGGGTAATTTTAGTTGACAGGTTACTTTGTAGGTATGCACGTGATTGGCTGATTATTATGGTATATTTGACAGGGCTACCTTTGCCCTGGTAACTGCAAAAATGTGTGATTGGATGGGACATTTAGTACTCTGAGCATGCGCTTATGTATCATTCAGTTACAAAAGGCACACGTCCTCCCACATGGTTCTTAACAAGCAAATTTATTAGTATATAAGTCAAGCAAAAAGCAGTACTATACGATGATATGCCGCAGACTCGGAGGTAGACTTATATGACGTATGCTAATTCAATAAAGTCATGACGTCATGTGTGACGCAATGACACAGGGATCCCAGTTGGAGTTGTCTGATTTCCGGTTAGAAAGAATATCACATGACAGGAAGGTTGCGGATTGAACTTCCGGTGTCCCAAACGTGACATGACACAC